GAGAGGAAATTTACCTGAGATGCCTGAACTGCCCTAAGTCGGTGGACTTGAAAGGTCCAAATTGCCCTGGTCGATTCGTCTCCCCTCCCTGCTGAGTCATCTCCAGATTCCTTCTTATCCATAAGGGGACAAGAGGTTCCAGGAAATGTATCAAAGTATGTCAAGTCGACTGCCTACTTCACGCCTCGAGGTACAAGGAGTCGACATCGAGTGTCTGTACGTTGACTTAAGCTCCAACTGTTCGGAGGTCACGCTTTTGTCAATTCTCGAATGGATGTCGACTACTTGTGATTCGACTGAAACGAGTCGACCTTCATGAGTCGACCCGTACGGGGTCTGCCTTCTCATGCATGTAGTAAGGAAGAGTCGACTTTGGACGAAGTCGACTTGAACACATTGCTGACGGATATCGACGTGCCGGCGGAGCCGGCTACCTTCTGGTCGAGTAGAGAGCCTTTGGACCGGTATATCTTTATATGGCTATATCAATGACCATTCAATTGCCAAGAAAAATATTGAAACAATTATTTTATAACAACAACAACTACAACAATGGTTAAGAGATTTTTTTATGCCATAAAATTAGTTATATGATTAAACAACTAATATTATTTATGAGTAAATAGCATGGAAAAAATACCATGTAATTTTTTGTGATTAGGCAACTTACATTTACCATTTAGTGTAAATTATAATTAGTTGATTTTAATAATAACAATTGTATGATAGAATAATTAATAAAAATATGATTACACTTAATTAATTTATATTGTAACAGTTTTACCACTATTGACTGAAAAATGGGCGGGAATTTTTTTGCACTTGCATTAGTTTGATAACATGAAATTATGTGTATCTCTCTCTTACATATAAGCAAAAGTGTGAGGTATTGTAGTCATGACACGCGGCAATTTTTTGGACCAAAATGCCCCTCAATTGGTCTTCTTTTTACACGTAATGCCCTCTTTTCTTTGCACTGACACATTGGTCATTTGAGAGATAGATTTCTAGATTTTCCTGATAATGTGTGTACGATCTGCATCCAAAATCTCATAAAATCTCAAAAATCTTTTTCGTATCTTTGACAAAAAAAAAAAATAAAAAAAAATAGAGATCTCCCTTCTTCATCTCTCTGTATAATCCTCCTGCCATATCAAAATTTTGCACAAATTTTCTTTGTTCTTCCGAGCCTTAAAGAAGAAAGGAGTAGAGGCGACGCAGGCTGATATAACAGCGTTGTCGGCGTGCAGAGGCGGCATCTAGGTCGCACGCAGTGAACAACGACGGAGGGTCTGACAACCGTCAACAGACTCACACTCCTCATCCTCAGCTTCTTCCACCTCAGCACCGCTAGGGGAGTCCTCTACAGAGTGAGGGGCTTAACACAACTATTTCAAATTAGTATGTTTTTTCATAACCTACCACCACCTGCCGCCATGGCTTCCTTCTCCATTGAAATTTGTTTCTGGTCTCTCTTTCCTTCTTTTTTTCTTTTTTTTTTTTTTTTTTATCTCCTAAAAAATCACCCTAATTTTCGCACTTTCTTCTTTCAATCGATGGCGTGTGTACATAGACGCTGACGAGCAATCGACCGATCCCCGTTAGTTGACGAGCGACGATGGTTGGGCTGATGAAGGTACATTCTTGGACAACGAGAACAATATGTCCGATGGAGTTCTTATCGGGTATGTCCAATATTTTTTTCTTATGCGTATAAATTTCTTCTTTGCGTTTCTTTTGTCTGGTTTTTTCTCATCGATTTTGGACATTTATGAATTCTTTTATTTTTTTCTTGGGAAAAATTCCTAAATCCCAAGGCGATCATTTGACTACCTACTCTGGACGGTGATCGAAAACAACCTCTGCTACCGGAATATGTGTGTCGTTAACCTCATTTATCCTCAATTATGCAACCATGATATTTTTCCGTTTTCCCATTTTTTAAATTTTAGTCTCGTGATCACTTTGTTCTATCGACTGATTATGTGTGATTTGATATGGTGATGCGGCACTGTAAGAAATCCTTTTTACCTTGTTTTGAACTTTTCTATTTATTTCCTTTTCTTTGTGTTGTGTAAAAATAGTTGTCGTTCTTTCGTTGCGGGAGGCATGGGTCATTGGTGGAGGCGACATATGGTGCGCTTGTGATTGTTATTGACTGGTGCTGTATAAATTAGAGAATAATTATAGGTGAACAGTTTGCTGAGGTGGCTTCCGGGATACGAGGTGTCACAAGTGAACTTCCAAGGTGAGCATCTTATTGGATTATCAAGTGAACTTTAAAGGTGAGCATTTGATTGGATTATCCCTTTTCGCCACAACATAGGTTGCTGTTGATGCTCGGGATGCACTTCAGGTGTTCCAATTTTTTTTTTCAACAACTCCATATTTGCTTTCCCCTCTCTTAATTAGTTGTGTGATTTGATTGTAATATATGAAAGTTTGAAATCCTTTTTTGAGGTTTAGGACATGGTGTTTGATGTGGACTCGAAGTCTGTGTTGCACATTGAGATGACGAAGTAGAATTTGTTTGTCAAAAGGGGTGAGTTGTACAGTTGATTTCTCAAGGCCATTGTCTCTTAATATTTACACGTATTTGTATTGGCTTTGTTTTGCGCCACCATTTACTGTCATTGCATCCCCTATCAACTTCAGCTTTTTAAACTTTCAAAAGATGAAATCATTGATTCCAGCACTTTAGGCCGACGATAGAGTCCAAGTGAGAGGATGGATAAGCTCTTTGGACAACAAAATCCAGGTTTGATTATCAAGGCCTCGAAAGAAGTGAATAACACACAGATTTTAAGCGGGAACATCCAACCATACATCTCTTAGGATCTCATCTTTCTCCTCATTGTGAGTTCCAGATTTAAATTTCACAAACCATGATGCTTTTTTTTTGAGATTTTTAATTTTTTCTTTCTATATATCCTTGTATGTTTTTATTTTTTCAATTTTCATTTAATCGAGCTTATTTTTCTGCTTCTTTTTTGTTTATTTTTTCTTGATATCTTATGGGACCAATGAGTTGTAGCTTTTCTTTTAGTGTTAGAATAATCCTAACAATTAATAACGATGTGGGTTTGTACAGAACCGGTAGAGAGATGCTCAGAGCATGCTTGTTTATAATTTTTTTTTTTGTTTTGATTGAGTTTTTTGTTTGAGTTGGTTAATTTTGAAAAAGTTGTTATGGTTAATTGTTAGTGGGTATATTAAAATAATTTTTAAAATAAAATGATTAAAATTAAATTTCTATAAAAGTAGGAGAGAGAAGATGTGAATGTGATGGTTAGTTAAAATTATGTGAGTAGATGAATAGTAAATTAAGGTTGATGTTGGGTGTAAGAATGATTGACTGATATTATTTAATTATATTGATAATATTGATGATAGTGGGTTGATTGATTGATATTATTTAATTATATTGATGAAAGTGGGTTGAGTTAAAGTTGAGTTAAAAAATAGTGGTTGAGTTAAAAATGATTAGATTTTTTTGGATTGGATTTATAAACAAGCATCACCTCAGGGTTTCAATGTAACTGTCTAGGGAGAGCAGCCAATACAGCCTTTAGGCCGGGATTCTTTCTTCTCTTAGTACCAAAGATGACCGGATCAGAGTTTCTACCTGTTGACAGCCTGATTAGAAGCCGTTGTCGAGGGTCTGCACGAGCTCGAGAGCTTTGTTCAATCTTTTGAGGCCAACCTTCTCCAAATATCTCAATTTCTCAGTTACGCTGGTTGGGATGTTCTTAGCTTGCTCTATGAATAAGGATTTGAGAAGGGCTTTGCGGCAGAGGCAAAAAGGGGACGTGAGGTATCTCCACTTTCCAGCAGGGGTACAACCAATTCAGCCGTGCACCACATAGGGAGAAAAAAGGTAGAATCCTAGAAAAAAGACCAATGGTTACTTTTTTCTGGGTTTTGATGATGCTATCGGAAAAAGGTTAAACGACTCCATCTTTATTAACGGGTTTTGACTCTTCTTTTCTCTTTTGTTGTTGTATAGCTCCCATTGAGGAAACTAGTGGTGAGCATGATAGGTGGAAAGGTCAACGATGAGGAGCGACCTTGATGGTGGTTGAGATGACAACGGAAGCGTAAATTTGGATTTTCGTTATAAAATATCCTTAAATTCAAGTGTGAAAGATTCAAATTTCAATCCTCACCCTTCTCTGGGAATCTCTTTAATTCCCTTTTACTAGACAGGGGTTGTAAATCACCTTGCTTCTCACGCAAATAGTAACACACTCGCACAGACTAGCAAAGCCAGCTGTTGTTATTTTTATTTTCTTCTTACATTCTTGTTAGAAGAAAGACAATACCTGCAGAAAGAGGTGGACATGGAGGGGAAAAGCAAGCCTGAAGCTTACAGCGTTAAACCTTTGGACATGTTTCTGACGATTAATTTGGATGGGAGAACGGCTAAAAACACTGTTGCTAATAGCAAGATCACGACTAACCTCACTTCGGTCATTCACGAGGTATGCATTTCTTATTGTCTTTCAATTATGTCCAGTAACTTTATTTCTTTTTTTTTGGTGTGTTTGAAAACATTCGATCGTTGTGTGATATCGCTAATAGTTGTTCTTGAGCATGACTTGGGATTTGTATATATATATATTTTTTTTTTTCAAAACGATAGGCATTCATTCAACATAAAAAGTACAAGTACAGACCGGAGGCCCAATTTTTCCAAACAAATAGAGAGATATCTTCAAACAAGAAGATCTAAACACCCCAACTTAATAAATCAAACAACAGCAACTACTGAGCATCTAACAGATAAAGGCAGATATCACAGAGCCCTTTACCTGCAAGACAACACAAATCGAGCAACCAACTAATACAAAGTGACTGAAACTAAACAACAGGACAAGGAAATGACAAAGAAGATAGACCAAGATATGCACTACTGAACCAAGAAAGGACCTAGTGACATTCAGCTTCTTCTTTGCTACCCAGCTTCTTGTCTGCAAGCTTTAAACTCCATCCAATCACTATGAACAGCCTTGAGAATAACAGAATCTGGCAGCCGCAAAGACTGGAATTTCCAGATGTTACCTGCCTTCCACAACCACCATAAGAGGTATGTGGTCAACTCAATTCTAGCTTCAGAAATGTCCTTTTTGTCCACAGAGCAAACCTGACCCCACCAATGTCTGAAAGTGAGTGAGCAAGCAGTAGTCCACTGCACTGGGGCTAACTTCCAAATACTCTGAGCTCTCTCACAGTACAACATAATATGTTCAATTGATTCCAAGCCCTCACCACAAACTTGGCATCTAGGATCCACAACAAGTCCTCTCTTCTTCAAATTTAAGCAAACTGGAAGGGTGTTGTTACAACACTTCCAAATGAAGTGCTTAAGCTTGTGCTTAATCCTCAGCTTCCAACTTCTATTTCTCAGAGCCTTATCTTTCAGAGCAGAATCACAACCCTCAGCAATATTTAACAAGAGTTTGTTAAGAACCAGATGGAAATAAGAACTAGCAACAGAAAATTTACCTTTAGAGTCCAACATCCAAATCCATTTATCATGCAATAGAGGATCTAAAGATCCAATCTTCAGAATTTCCTCCACATCTTGTTGCTGAAAACAATCCTCCAGAAGATCCCTATTCCAACTTTTCCCATCATCTTGCAAGAGCTTAGAAACCCAAGTAACTCTGCTCATTCCCACTGAGGTTTTGGTAGGCAGACTATCCTCTCTCCCAGGTAGCCAGGGGTCATTCCAAATGATAATATTTCTGTCTTGTCTGACCACCACTCTGAAATGCTGCTTGAATTTGTCCTTGACACCCATCCAGTTGCTCCATAACCAGGACATATTGTAAGGTCTTTGAGCTTGCAAGATAGAGCAGTCTTTAAACTATTTCCCTTATAGAACTCTGGTGACCAGCAAGTTGGGGTGAGTAACTAATCTCCATAGTTGTTTGAGGACGAGAGATTCATTAAATAAGAGCACATCTCTAAAGCCCAACCCACAATGGATTTAGGCAGAGTTAAGTTTGTCCATTTTTTTCCAATGAAGACCAGAGTGCAAATTCCCTTTATTCCACCAAAAATCTGCACACAATCTAGCAATATCCTAACACAGACCTTTAGGAAGGCAGAAGCATGACATGGAAAAAACAGGGAGAGCACCTAACACAGCTTTCATTAGGACCTCCTTGCCTGCATCAGATAGGAATTGATTCTTCCAGTTCACCACTTTCCCTCTCACAGCTGGCAGAATAAAATCAAAAGATTTCTTCTTGGATTTTCCAATCCCTAGGGGCAAACCAAGATATCTTGTAGATCTATGAGATTGAATTCCCCCCAGCAGATTGCAAATAACAGATTTCAATGCAGGCTGACAGTTTCTACTAAAGAAAATAGAAGATTTGCCCAGATTAACTTTCTGTCCTGTGAAAAGTTGGTATCTTAGCAGCAAAGCCATAAGAGCCCTAGTGTGATCCTCAGATGCTTCACACATAACTAATGTATCATCAGCAAACATTAAATGAGAGACAACAGGGCTTTGTTTGGCAATTTTTAAACCTCTGAGAGAACCTTTTCTTTCCTCATCTTTAAGCAATCTAGAGAAAACCTCAGAAATAATAATAAAAATGTAAGGTGATAAAGGATCACCTTGTCTGATGCCACGAGAAGCTGAGATTTAACCTTTAAGCTCACCATTAATATTGAAAGAAAAGGTGGAGGAAGATATGCAAGCCCAGATCCAATTCACAAAAACTGCATGGAACCCCATCTGTAACATCACTTTCTTGACACAATCCCATTCAATGCGGTCGAAGGCTTTCTCCATGTCCAGCTTGAGCAGCATATAGCATTTCTTCCCAGAAACATGTCTGTTAAGAAAATGGACACTTTCATGAGCAATAACAATGTTGTCCAAAAGTTGTCTTCCAGGGATGAATGCGAACTGATTCTCACTGATACAAGAGGATAAACAAGGCTTAATTTCGAGGGATAGGATCTTGGCAATAACTTTGTAAGCCACCCCACATAAGCTAATAGGCCTGTACTTCTTAAGATTCTCTGGATTTGGGCATTTAGGAATTAAAGAAATCACAGTGTGATTCCAGCTCTTAAGAAGATTCCCAGATTCAAAAAAGCTAAGCACTGCTTTACAAAAATCATCAGAAATAACATCCCAAAGCTTTTGAAAGAAAACTGGACTCATTCCATCTTGGCCAGGAGCTTTCTCAGGTTTAAGACTGAACAAAGCAGATTTGATCTCATCAACTGAAATTGGGGCAATGAGAGAATCATTCATGTATGGAGTAATAGACTTGGGTATAAGATTGAGTAGTGTTGTGTCATTGATAGATCCTTCTGATGTAAAGAGTTGCTCATAAAACTGGCAGATATGAAGTTCAATCTCCTCTGCAGAAGACCAAGTCTAGTTAGCCTCATCAACTAAACTTTGGATGGTATTCAGATTCCTCCTTTGCATAGTAATAGCATGGAAGTATTTGGTATTGGAATCCCCATCCTTGAGCTATTGTGATCTAGCCTTCTGAGCCCAGAACACTTTCTCTTCCTTTGTAATTCTATTTAGCTCACCCCTCAGTCTTTCCCATTCTCCCCAATCTCTGTTGATGCCAAGAGTACTCATATGCTCCAGTGATTCTGAGATTAATTTCTTCTCCAAGATCTGCTCCCTTCTAAATGTTGAGCTCCACTTCAGTAATGCTAGCCTTGTAGCCTTAATTTTCTTTGAAAACTGGAACATGGAAGTGCTAGATTACACAATGGACCATCCTTGTTTCACAGTATCAAGGAGTCCTTGTCTTTTAAGCCAACGCTTGTCAAAGAAAAATGTTTACCTTTCTTACTTTGATGCTGAGGAGAATCATTCAAGAACAATAACCTATGATCAGAGGCACTTTTATAAATATTCTCCACAACAACCTGCTGATGATCCGCTAGCCAGTCAAATGAAACAAATATTTTATCAATTTTTTCTTTGATGAAGCCTTCTGCCTCCCTGTTATTACCCCAAGTAAAATTATGGCCAGTAAGCTGCAGCTCATGCATTCCCATACGAGATATGAACTCATTAAAATTGATAAATTCTCTAGCAGCCTTGATTCTACCTCCCCTCTTTTCACTGGCATCACAAATTTCATTCCAGTCCCCTCCCAGTATCCATTTACTACCCCAAGATTGACTGGCATTCTCCAAAAACTGCCATTGCAATAATCTCTCTCGCTTTTCAGTACTGGCATACAAAAAAGTCATCCACACATCCTCTGCTCCTCCTTTGCCTGCAACTAGAATTTGAATGAAAAAGTGGTTGCTCAGAATATGTTTAATCCCTACTTCTTTCTGCCAAAGTACTAGCAATCCACCCCTGAGCCCCTGAGGTTCTACTGCATACCAACAATCCTTGAAGCCAATTTTCCTACATAGTGACTTAATAAAATTATTTGGTTTTTTAGTTTCTGAGAGAAAAACAAAATCTGGGTGGTGGAGTCTTGTAGACTCCTTAATTTGTGAAATTGTGGAGGGTCCACCCAACCCTCGACAATTCCACATCATGAGCTTCATTGATCAATTTGGGGCCATTCAAGGCTGGCTACCCCCACCTCTAAAGAGTCAATTTTCATCTTCTTGCCCCCCGGCATGGTCTGAGCTGATTTGGGATCATCAACTTCCTCAATGAACAGGGCCCTCTTCTTCCTCTTTGGTTGAGTTTCTGTCAATGATGTATTGCTCCTCAGAGCCCTATTGGTTTGACCTCCAAAAGAAGAAGGTTTTCTTGTCCATCCTCTTCGTTTTTTAGCAGATACCTTCCCTATGCACCCTCCTTCGGATTGATTAGAAAGTGCTGGAATGTGAGTCATAGTTTCTACCTCCATAGCTAAATCTAATTCCCCATTCTCCCCTTGCTCCATCTCCTGAGCTAAAGCAGATGGAATAATACATACTTCTTCGCCTTTGCTAGGCTAAGGAGTTTCTACTTGTTGCACATTCTCTGCAATACTAAGTTCTTTACCAATCTCAGCTTGCACTCCACTACTTGCAGACTTGAAGCCAGTGCCTACTTCATTTTGAGCATGAGATGTATCATGATTGTGAGTATTGTCCTCAGGTGATGCACTATCCGGATTTGAAGTTGAAGAAGATTTATATCCATAAGGGCCATCTACTGCTCGCAACCATTCGCCGTATTGTCCTTCCTTGAGTGATCTATTAGCAATATCCTCCATCTTTTTCTTGCATCCTCGCTCAAGGTTACCAATGATACCACAGTAAAAACAAACGTTGACAAGCTTCTCATACTGGAAAATAGCCATAACCCGAGTATTATGGAGCTTAAGATGAGCTACCCGAGGCAATGGCTTGGAGGCATCAATAACTGCAAGTAATATTAAGAAACTCCCTCTGCTGCCCCCAGCTTTCACCACCGTCATGTTTTTAACTTTCAAAAAAGATGTCCCCACTTTTAAACCAACCTCAGTACATAGCCAATTGATAGGAATATTGCTCACCTGGACCCAAAGCTGAAGTTCAGAGAATCGGCGATGATTTTCAGTCTTTCCTTCCTCCCATTCCGCCAAAACTAGGTATTGATTTTTGAAGAACCAGTGAGTTCCTTTGAGCACTTTAAGCTTATCCTCCATACTCCCAAAGATGAATTGGAAGTAATTAGTCTTCAGCTCTTTAACCTCCAACTGGCCTTGAATTTGCCATATTGCACCCATTGTCTGGCGAACGCCAATAAGACCTGCCCTCCTATCTCCAATGACTTTCCCGAATAAACTTCTTTTACACTCGACAACGCTAATCTTGATATAATCATCACGAAGAGAAATAATGTTACCTTCCGATTCAGAAAGGGCAATGTTTTGTAGTAAGCTTCCAAGATCATCAGTAATCGTGGCCGAAAGAGTTGTCACCGGAGGTCCGGTGTCATCGGGATCCATTATCCTCTGCAATTAAATACCAATCCTAGAAAAGAAGAGATTGACTTGGCACAGAAACTGCTGATATTGTTGAAACCAACCCTCGATGGAATTAGCCCCTTCAAAATGAACGGAATTGATGCTCTCCCCAAAGAGAATTGATGCTCCCCCAGAGAGAAATCGGCTCGGGGATTTGTATATTGATATCTATGTTTTTTTTTTTTTTTTTATGTTGTACTCTTGGGCAATGTTATTTCTCTTGCAGGACCGTAAAAGTTGAAAGATAACTTATACCAGATTTTAATATGCCTATGAATTGCATAGTTTCAAGGTGCAACCCTTACGAGTATTTTCATCATCAATGGAGAAAAATGTCAGTAATTGGAATTGTTGTTGGTGCAATGGTGCATTAATAGATGTGTGCGTTCAAGGTGTTACCCTTACGAGTAACTAAATTTTCACCTTTAGAGAGTAACCTTCTTGCTCTTTTTGGTCCATATGTGAAACATAGAAAGAAGTTTAGAAGATTATTGAAAAGAGTGGGCTTTGTTTGAGAAACATGCAGTTGATAGTATTTTTTCATTTCCATATCTAGTAATGGAATTTACAGTATCTCTATAAAATTTCACTGAATATCGTGAGTATAATGGTATTTGGCGATAAATATAGATTGAGTTATTGCCCATGTTTGAGTTTGGTAGTGCTGACAGCTCAGACGGATGGTTGTGATCGTAATGCTCGTGAAGGTGACTGGAGCCTTATTTTTGGAAGAGAAGCTTCACCTGGGAATGTATGTGTCTGGATTACTTACATTTCAACATCTCAACATTTTGGAGGGTGTTACATAAAACTGGGACTTGATTTTAAGACAAACATATTCATCATATGTAAATGTGATTTTTGGGTTAGAGGGTTATCTACAATTTTGGAACAAAAATAGCTATTTATAATGTGTGTTGTGCATATAGATTTAATTATTAGACGATTCCCTATTCCCTATTCTTTACGATTCCCAAGTGAGTCAAAGTAATAAGTACTGCATATATATGTCTGTTTAATATCTTATGGGTTAAGAGAGCGCAATAATTAACCGAGACCTAGTCCATTTACGACGATCAATATAAAAATGAACTTCTCCTCTCTGGGATCTTGTTCAATACATAAATGTACTAGTGCAACTAATCAGTGAAGACCAACTGTATCATTGACACTACAATCGTTCTGATGGGGTGTTCATTTTCATCTAAGTTGCGAACCACAATTCTTGTTTCGCAAGTAACTGATAGAATGATCTTCTGTTCAGCCGATGATGACTCATTCTATTTAAGTGCAAAACAACAGAGCTTAGAACTTGTTTAATCGAACATGATTCTCATTCATAAAGGTCAAAAGTGTAATATCATCCAAATCCAGGCTTTCAGTATATAACACTAACATGGTCAATCTATAAATCTTAAAAAATCCAATGTCCTTTTCTCTGCTAATACCTTAGACCTCGTGAAGTCTGATACTTGTCAAATCCTTAATGTTATTGTTTTAGCCAAAAGCTTTAGGTACTTGGCACACTCCCTGGAAATTGGAAGAAACAAAAATGAAACTTTTGCTTTTGTGAAAGAATGTTTGATTTCAAGAATCTCTAACTGAAAAAACAATTTCCATAGTGAGGTAGGGAGAGAGATTAATCAAAACAATCTTGAGTGCTTTACCTGTTTGTTTAATGTTTGTGCTTAGGTTACCAGAGGGTATTTGTTAACAAAATTTTCAAGGAAATAGCAGGATTTTGGTGGGGTAAGAAAGTGGATGGGTGAAACAGATTCCATTGAACTAAGTGCGGTAGTTTAGCCAAGTATAAGTGGGAAGGGGGTCTGGGTTCAGGGATATAGGACACGTTAATGAAGACTTAATTTTGAAACAGATTTGGAGGGTATTCACCAAGACAAACAGTCTAGTGAGTAGAGTAGTTAGAGTTAGATACTTCTTTAGGCAAAACTTCATGGAAATCCAAAAGAAAAACGGTGATTCTTAGATGTGAAAGTGTTGGTTAGAGGCTATAAATTCTTTAGTGTTACGGATTAGGTTCCAGGTTGGAAATAAGCTTTCAATTAATGTTTGGAATTCACCTTGGATCCCCAACATAACAAAATTTTTCAAACCAATGTGTCGTTATTTGTCCCATTTCTCTTGCATTTTTCGTTGTTATTTTGCCTTTTTTTTCCTGTTCTAGGTTTTTTTTTTTCGTTTTTAGTTCGTTTTGTGTTTTGTTTCGTGTTTTTCTTTATTTGGGGTTTTTCTATATTTTTGTTTGAGTTTCTTTGTTTTCTTCTTGTTCTTGTCGTTTTTGGTGTGCAGGTCGAGAGCTTCGGGTGGATATTATTTTAAGAATAAGTTGGCCATGCAAGCATAATTAACTAGAACGGTTTGTTGGCGATGCATAAGAAAAAATAACACTCAATTCCGAGTTCGGACGAGCTAAAACGAACCCGAAACGCAAAGTCTCATAGCTCAGACCCTAGCGGCGCTAAGGCCTGCGCGACCAGAACTTAATAAAAGCCAATTTTGCTCGTTTTTTGGAGACCTTTCATTGGGACTCATTCCGAACCCTAGAAAAAAAAACGCAAGAACATATTTTGTCAGTTTTTCCACCCAATAACATAATCTTTGATCTTGGTTTTCATCTCATTAAAACCCTTATTTTTGGATTAAGCATGTATCTTGGATTCAACTTTCATTCATATTTTCATCGTAAGTCCTTCTATTTAATTGATAAGTTAAATTGCTTGCGTTAATATGTTTAATTGTGTTGAATTTAATATACGTAGCTAATTTTACTACTAGGGATAGGGGATAATTGTTCATGTTCGTTCATATTTGTCGGGATTGATTGTTCATTTTCGTGCAAGTTGATTTGAAAAGGATAAAGTTAATTTCTTGCTTGAAAGTTGAATACAATTTAAGAGTGACACTTCAATCTTGCCACTGGGTTATTATTCTTTTGAGTTAGGGTTTTTGAATTCTAAGCGATTAGTTGATTAATCATCTTCTAATCTAAATAAGTGGTTTATACAACTGAAAGGAGAAAAGTCGTAGACCTAGGCCTTCACGAGATAGACGATGTTGTATAAGAATAGTCTATAGGTTTTTGGATTGAAATGCATGCTCGTCTACGTCCTTTCCCTTGCTACGAGAGTTATTGGGATCGTACCTTAGGCTTTTGTGTTAGCTTGAACTTGTTCATATATGTTCAATCCCTTGTTATGAAAAGTTATTGGGATCAAACCGCTATTTGTTTAACCGAGAGCATCAACGACCCATTCAACTAACGCTCGAATTCCTCATTTTGCTAATATATATATATATATATATTTTTTATATATATATATATAAAAAGGAAAATGAGAGAAAATGAAAACAAAACGTGGGTTGCCTCCCACGAA